TATCAAATGTTTCTTAAGAAAAAACTTTATATTTTATCTGTTATTTTCAGCAATGAATCTTTGTATAAGTTTGGTAGATTTGATCAATCTCGTAACCACCATAAAAAAATTAGGAAATAAATATAAATCATGCCTCTTTCATTCTAGAATGAAGACAAATTATAACACGAAAACATATATGTTTAGACTAAATAGCTTAAATCTCATAACATTAAACATTTATATATATATACATTTATTATTTTCATTATATTGACCCTTCAGCCGTGCCTGGCTAACAATACAGAAGTTACAATGATGTGGCCCATGACACTCATTTTACCGTATTCAATAACATAAAACTGACCTTTGGTCTGTACAAAGTAACCTGTCTTGGCTGTGTTTTAGTAGACTAGTATTTTGTAAAATACATTCACATTTCAATTATCATACATTATATATATATATATATACAGATTATTGCTATTTTGAAATAAGTTCTTAAACTTATTTTTCTTAAAACATAGAACAGTATATAAAGAAGTAAAACAAACAATTATCTCTTCTATTTACGACCTTTGAACTTGGTTGCTGCTTGATGTAGATTGCTAAGCCTTTAAAAATTTTGCACGTGGAGGATATGAAACAAAATCATTTTTTTAGGTTTTATTTATACATTTGAATAACTAAAAAATACTAAATTACTACATTAATACCACAGAATTCCACTATAATTTACCAAGCTTAGTAGCAAATATGTATTTTAGTCTAAAAAATATGAAATTTTGAACACCCTATCTGCTTGAAATATTAGTTCAAAAGAAAGAAATGGCATCCAAACTCATTAAAATGGCTGAGAAAGCCACTAGGGGGACATTCTAAGCTTCTGATTAGTTATTCATGTCATATATAGAAGTAAGTGTATATATAAGGAAGTGTTTCCAAAAATGAAAAGAGATGGGCAGGGTACCATTGTGTTTGATTTATTACATGAGAAATATCTTAGAAAATAAAAAAGAAGCTCTTACCTTATATTGTAGCTTGTCAATATTGTTAATTTGAGTTTCTAATTCCTATGAAACTATAGACTTAGTATTTAGACTTCACAAACATCTAATCTGAACCAGTGCTGCATTCAACATACAACATGACACGCAAATATTGATGTTTATTTGT